AGAATCCGCCTGCCAATGCAGGGGACACGGGTTCAATCTCTGGTCTGGAAGGATCCCACATGCTGCAGAGCAACAGGGCCTGTGTGCCACAGCTGCTGAGCCTTCTCTCTGGAGCCCGTGATCCATAGCTGCTGGGCCCGCATGCCACAACTACTGAGGCCCAGGCACCCAGAGCCCGTGCTCCACAATAAAGACAAGACACCGCAATGAGAAGCCCGCACACTGCAATGAAGAGTAGCCCCCGCTCACCACAACTAGAGAAAGCCCACGCACAGCAACAAAGACCCAACGCAGCCAATAAACAAATAAATAAATAAATTTTAAAAAAGATAAATTAGATCTTTTACATTCTTTCTTATTTTATACTTACAGCATATCTCAATTGAGATGATAAATTTGTTGTCCGTGCCGTGCGGCTTGCGGCATCTTGGTTCCCCAACCAAGGATTGAACTTGGGTCCCGGCAGTGAAAGTGCCAAGTCCTGACCACTGGACTACCAGGGAACTCCCGAGATGATAAATTTGATTGGAAATTATTGCTTTGTATTTAGATTTCAAAAATTTAGACTTGAAAAAGTAGATTCACGACCTTTTTTTTTTCCCCTTAGATTCCATATATATGTGTTAGCATACGGTATTTGTTTTTCTCTTTCTGACTTACTTCACTCTGTATGACAGACTCTAGGTCCATCCACCTCACTACAAATAACTCAATTTCATTTCTTTTTATGGCTGTGTAATATTCCATTGTATATATGTGCCACATCTTCTTTATCCATTCATCCGATGATGAACACTTAGGTTGCTTCCATCTCCTGGCTATTGTAAATAGAGCTGCAATGAACATATTGGTACGTGACTCTTTTTGAATTATGGTTTTCTCAGGGTATATGCCCAGTAGTGGGATTGCTGGGTCATATGGTAGTTCTATTTGTAGTTTTTTAAGGAACCTCCATACTGTTTTCCATAGTGGCTGTATCAATTTACATTCCCACCAGCAGTGCAAGAGTGTTCCCTTTTCTCCACACCCTCTCCAGCATTTATTGTTTCTAGATTTTTTGATGATGGCCATTCTGACCGGTGTGAGATGATATCTCATTGTAGTTTTGATTTGCATTTCTCTAATGATTAATGATGTTGAGCATTCTTTCATGTGTTTGTTGGCAATCTGTATATCTTCTTTGGAGAAATGTCTGTTTAGGTCTTCTGCCCATTTTTGGATTGGGTTGTTTGTTTTTTTGTTATTGAGCTGCATGAGCTGCTTGTAAATTTTGGAGATTAATCCTTTGTCAGTTGCTTCATTTGCAAATATTTTCTCCCATTCTGAGGGTTGTCTTTTGGACTTGTTTATGGTTTCCTTTGCTGTGCAAAAGCTTTTAAGTTTCATTAGGTCCCATTTGTTTATTTTTGTTTTTATTTCCATTTCCCTAGGAGGTGGGTCAAAAAGGATCTTGCTGGGATTTATGTCATAGAGTGTTCTGCCTATGTTTTCCTCTAAGAGTTTGATAGTTTCTGGCCTTACATTTAGATCTTTAATCCATTTTGAGCTTATTTTTGTGTATGGTGTTAGGGAGTGTTCTAATCTCATACTTTTACATGTACCTGTCCAGTTTTCCCAGCACCACTTATTGAAGAGGCTGTCTTTTCTCCACTGTATATTCTTGCCTCCTTTATCAAAGATAAGGTGACCATATGTGCGTGGGTTTATCTCTGGGCTTTCTATCCTGTTCCATTGATCTATCTTTCTGTTTTTGTGCCAGTACCATACTGTCTTGATTACTGTAGCTTTATAGTATAGTCTGAAGTCAGGGAGCCTGATTCCTCCAGCTCCATTTATCGTTCTCAAGATTGCTTTGGCTATTCAGGGTCTTTTGTGTTTCCGTACAAACTGTGAAATTTTTTGTTCTACTTTTGTGAAAAATGCCAAAAAAAAAATGTCATGAAGAACCTAGGGGTACGATGGGAATAAAGACACAGACCTACTAGAGAATGGATTTGAGGATATGGGGAGGGGGAAGGGAAAGCTGGGACAAAGTGAGAGAGTGACATGGACATATATACACTACCAAACGTAAAATAGATAGCTAGTGGGAAGTAGCCGCATGGCACAGGGAGATCAGCTCGGTGCTTTGTGACCACCTAGAGGGGTGGGATAGGGAGGGTGGGAGGGAGGGAGACGCAAGAGGGAAGAGATATGGGAACATATGTATATATATAACTGATTCACTTTGTTATAAAGCAGAAACTAACACGCCATTGTAAAGCAATTATACTCCAATAAAGATGTTAAAAAAAAAAAGTAGATTCACATACCCAAGGAATTCCAAAAATACTTAAAAGTTTTTCCAATAATGGAATCAAGTTTATCAGTTTTAAAATTTAACATGGAAATTAATAGCATTATGCTAAGTAAAGAAGCCAGACACAGAAGGTCACATATTTTATGATTCTGTTTATATGAAATGTCCGCAATAGGTAAATCCATAGAGAAGAACATAGATTGGTGGTTGCCAGGGGCTGGGGGAAGAGGAGTGAGGAGTAATTGCTTAATGAGTACGAGGTCTTTTCTGGGGTGATAAAAATGTTCTGGAACTGAGTAGAGGTGGTGGTTGCACAGCATTGTGAATGTACCAAATGCCATGGAACTGTTCATTTTAAAATGTTTAATTTTATGTTATGTGAATTTCACCGTGATTTTAAAAATTGAAGCTAATAAAATTTAATTAAAATTATAACTTCAGTTCCTCCATCACACTAGCTAGCCTCAATGCAAGTGCTCAACAGCATTAGACGGACATTGTACAGCACGGGACCAAGCTACTCCTATGCCGAGGCCAGGGCTTTTAAAATCATTTATTTCTGTTTTTACAGGACACAGCTTCCCAGCACTTACTGAAAGCTTTCAAGGTGAAGTGTCCCAGTTTATTTAGGCACCACCTGGCAGCCACTGAAGTGTCACGTTTCTATTTCACAAGAGTTAGCCATGAATCGGATTGCTACTGTTCCACATGATCAGCACGTTTTGGGTGACAGATTGTTAAGTCCGTCACACTTTTGAGCATGTTGTGATTCTTTCATAGTTTTTCTGAAGGGTGCCCGGCATCCAGAAACTTGTGGTCTGTGCTTCAAGAACATTATAAGTCATTATAATGTTTTCCAACAGCCATCCCCTCCAGGGAGCTGGAAGGGAGCAGAGAAGGAAGATCACAGAGAGCAGGCACTGTGCTGGTCGCGACACACGTGAAAAGAGCAGCTTAAATGATTAGGAGCGTAAAACCTTAAGAAACCCCAAGGATGATTCATAGGGCTCTGAAGGATCTGATGAGCTCACATGGCCCATCCCAAATGAATACAAGTAATTTGCTCTTTTCTTTCAACTCCCCCAGAGATAACGCTCAACAACCCCTCTTGTTTTTCTCATTGCACTGAATCATACCTCTCAGGTATCGAGAAGTGTTCCTCTAAGACTTTCTTATCAAAACTTCTCCTATTAGTTTATCTTTTAAACCTCCCAGCTAAGCCTGAATATCAGGACCCTTTACCTGGAAGTATCTCCTTAGCATTTTCTCATTTCTGATGCTTCTATATCCCAATATGATTCTTCAGTTTGTAGGCTGCCTGGACTGTTTATCCTCTCTCTGTTTTTCTTGCTCCCCACTGCCTTCCCCCCCCCCTCTTTATTAGATTGGAGAGAAAAGTAAATAAAGTTTCCACTGGTCAGTTTTTTCTTGGCCAGTCTAATAGTGGAAATGTATTCAAATTCTACCTTTCTAATACTGGAGTGATAGCTGTCACCATAAATCTATACCTCTTATTTATTGATAACACAGACGGTGGATAGTTTCTTTAAACAGCAATGACAACAACAGTAAAATAGAAACCATGGTGGCATATTCAGTCCTGTTGCTGACAAAAGGGATGTCTTTTATAGATGCCTCAGGAGAAATGACAAATATTCCTCAAAGAGTGTCCGTCTTTTATACCTCTTTCAAGGTTAAATTTGGCTGTGTGCAATGTCTTGCTTGCAAAATTTTGATTGCAATTAACAGAAGTGTCCTATAGTTAGTGTAAACCAAAAAAAAAAAAAAAACCGAATGAGAGAAGAAGAAGTTAATAAAAGGATGCTAGAGGTATTTTGTGGCATCAAAGGAAGAGTTGAACAATTAAAATTTATAAAAGGAAGAAACCAAGGGTGAGTTTTGAGAATTCAATAGCAGCTAATGAACTTTTTCTCTAGAGCACTGCCATTAAAGAGCACACACTTTGTTCCAGGTCTCCTCCCATTTCCTTCCTTTCTATTTCCAATTTCAGATTCCTGGGAGAGAGCCCAGGGTGGGTCAGGTGCTCTTAAACAGACTTGGTGCAAGAGAGAGATGAAACTAGTGTTTAAGAGGGGTGACATTTGATTTGCTCAAATGAGATAAAACATGTAAGGCGAACTGTGTTTTCCGAAGTTGGCCACAATCATAACTTCCATCCCACACACTCTTCTGCAGTGTGACCTTGTCACTCCCTCCTCATCAAGAGGTGTTCTAATCCCTCCCCTTGAACCTGGGTGCCTTAATGGCTCACTTGTAACCAATGCAAAAAGACAATATCAGTGACAAAAGTGACAATGCTCTTTGTGCCCCATTATTAGTGTTGACACAGAAAATATAGGACACACGGTTAGCTTTGAATTGAGGATACCTGACAAATAATTTTCAGATAAACAATGAATATGTCTAAATGGGACATACTTATACTAAAAATTGTTGTTTATCTGAAATTCAATGTTAACTGGGATTATTATGTGCTAATTCTGGCCATCTTATCCAGTACCTATTCTCCCTTTCTTCCTTTTAGTAATAGGAGTTTCAGCCCAGCTAGAGACTGTTTCCATGCCTCCCTGGCAGTAGGAGTGGTCATGTGACTAGTTCTTGTCAGTAGAACAAGTGGAAGTGAAGTGTGTCACTTCAGCAACTTGCCCACTCAATTCCTCCATTTCCCCCCTTCTCACAGGATCAAATGATGATGCAGTGCTGGAGAGCCAGCTTGGACTGTGTAGATACAGACAGTACCCACCCCGGTATGGCAGAGCAACAACACAGAAGGAACCTGGGTCCCCATTCAGCTTCCAGGAGCAGAGCTGCCTCATCGCCTTGGACCAACTCCTACCTATGGGCAAGAATGTGAGAAAGGAGGAAATGTCTAACTTGATTAATCCCTGTATTTTGTCTGTTTGTTATAGTAGCTTATTCATGGAAATAATAGAGCTGGGATCACTGCACTGGATCTGAAGGGCCTTACAGTTCCTGCCTACAATCTAGTCATTCAGAAACCCAACAAGATCCAGTTTCCACACATGCAGGGAAGCTGAATTGTATGCTTTTATCTGGATTCCCATGAGACCTGGCAGCCTTTTGAGATTTCTGCCTTGCTCATTTCCATTCATATGCTTGTAGTAATAGGAGACCATCTGATTCTTGACACCAAAAGCTCCTAAAAAAATTCTCCCCGGGCTTCCCTGGTGGCGCAGTGGTTGAGAGTCCGCCTGCCGATGCAGGGGACGCGGGTTCGTGCCCCGGTCCGGGAAGATCCCACATGCCGCGGAGCGGCTGGGCCCATGAGCCATGGTCGCTGGGCCTGCACGTCCGGAGCCTGTGCTCCACAACGGGAGAGGCCACAGCAGTGAGAGGCCCGCGTACCGCAAAAAAAAAAAAAAAAAAAAAAAAATTCTCCCCTTTAATCCTGCACTTTTCATTTATATGTGTCCTTTCTGTCTTCCCTGCAAAATGTGGGCTCCATGAGGACCAGAATCATTATCTCCCTCCACTGCTATTTCCTAGCACCTAGTGCGGTACCCGATGCAAAGGAGGTGCTCAGTAGAGGATGGATGGATGGATGGATGGATGGATGGATGGATGGATGGATGGGTGGATGGATGAAAAACTAGACTGTAGCTTATAGGAAAGAAGGCTTTATGGAATTTCTCCCCTTAAGTTCTGAATTCCTTCTGCCTTAACATTCTCTGTGTCACTGTGACATTTCAATAGGCCACATTCCCTTTTTTATCTCCAATTGTAGAGGCTTGCCTCAACAGAAGTGTTAAGTCAGGGAAACACGCCTTTAGGGCCTTCCTTTTTAGTTTTTTCTACAATCTTACAACCTTCTTGATAAGCACCCAGAGGCCTGACACTATGGACCTTCCCCAATCGTAAACAAAGTTTCCTTTCCTTGGTTCTACTTACTTAGCCTGGTTCATCTAGAAAATAGAGACTGAGACAAAGATTAATGTGCTGACACTTTATTTAGGAGGTAAAATCCTATGGAAGTGAGGATGTGGGGAAAAAAGAGAAAAGAGGTGAGAAAAGATGCAAAGCAACGTGATGCATTTCCATGCTGGCCACTGATCCCAGTCATTCACAGCAGGAAGCTGAAGCTTGTTTGCTTGGCAGACGGATTTTTCCAGAGGGGCCACAGAAGAAACCACAGCTAAGAGGGATCTGTGAAGGGGAGGAAGGAGAGGGACTGTATCTGCTCAGCTCTCTCCCATTTCCCACTTCCCAGTGGTCAAGACTCATTGCTTGGGAAACTAACTTCCCTACACTTCCTGGTTGTGTAACCTGGCACCTTGCAGCCACCCAGGCTGGAAAATTCCCATGCATGGCATTGCATCAAGCCCAGAAGTAGAAGGATAACTCAGTGTGGGTAGGAAGCTGATCAGGAAAGAAGAAAGAAGATGGTAGTCGAGAAATCTGGAAAGGTTTATAAAGTGCAATTCCCCTGCATGACTCAGGTCCATTCACGCCCTTCCATAGGATAATATTGGGCCACCATTGTGTCTGTAAGAACCACATTGCCCTTACTGTTTCCCAAAGAGGAGAGAAACGAGTTCAGTCAATTACAGAGTTTGTCTCAGGAAGGTGGCTGTCACAAACTCCAGGAAGGCTGAGACAAGAGGATTAGTGACACAAGTTACAGTCTGTGGTAGAAAGAATAATGCCCCATCCCCAAAAGATATCCATATCCTAATCCCTGGAACCTGTCAATATGTTATCTTACATGGCAAAATGCATATACGATAAAGTTAAGGACTTGGGTGAAGGGGACTGTAGCCTGGATTATCGAGGTGGGCCCAATCTAATCACATGAATCCTTAAAATAAGAGAATTTTTCCCAGCTGTGGTTAAAGAGAAACAGGACAACAGAAGAAGGATCTGAGTAATGCTACGTTACTGGCTTTGCAGTGGAGAAAGGGGGCCACTAGCCAAGGAATGTGGGCAGCCTCTCAAAGTTGGAAAAGGCAAGGAAACAGATTTTCTCCTAGAGCCTCAGAAAGGAAGACAGCCCTGATGACACTTGATGTTAGCTCAGTGAGACCCATCTTAGACTTCTGACTTAAACAACTGTAAGAAAATAAATTTATGTTTTTCCAAGCCACAAAGTTTGTGGTAATTTGTTACAGCAGCAATAGGAAACTAATACACAGTCTCTACTGCTATAGCAAGTCCTAGGGCCATAATTCATTTATCATCTCCCTCCTCCACTACCCACCTGGATTTCCCTCATCTTCAGCTAGTATTTTTATTGGTCAAGGTGACTTGCCTGGGAATACCCAGACGTTCATCCCCAAGGGGTGCGAATGATTAGGTGCCCTTGTCGGGTCGCAGTTATTGTAACTGCCCACTAACAGTCATCCCAAGCATAGAAGTATCATGTGATAACACTAGTGAACCCTCTGGGTTCCAGACATTCTCTGTCCTGCCCCTGTTAAATACAGTTGAACCTTGAACTATGAGGGGGTGAATCCACATACAATTTATAGTTGGCTGTCTGCATCCATGGTTCCTCAGCAACAATGGATTCAACCAACCACAGACCAGATCAAGTAGTACTGTAGGATTTACTATTGAAAAATATCCGAGTATGAGTGGATCCTTGCAGTTCAAACTCATGTTGTTCAAGGGCCAACTATAGCAGCAGCCCTAGTAATTCCCCCGGCAATCAGAACCGATTAACCCAGGTAGTGCAGTAACTCCCTTCTCTGTCGGTTCAGTGACATGAGGAGCCCAAAGTGACTAAGTGTTGTCACAATGTGCAATTCAGTGGAACCCTCCCTGTGTCCCCCAGCCTAAATGCTCCTCCAAAAATTAGAAACGCTTACCCTAGAGAGCCCAAGTTTACAGGGACGAGAAGCACAGAATCAGCAAGTGGATCATTGGGTATAATTGTGAGAAAGGCACCGTCTCCACCTCTGCCACCCCAGTCACTTTTTTCATGGGCCCATTGTGCAAGCTAGGAGGGCACGGAACAACAAGCCCCAATGAAGACAGAATTTCTTATTCTTTTTTGTATAACCAGCATAATAATGCTTTTTACGTAGTAGTTAATATCGTTTATTTATTCAACAAACATTTAGTGAGGACCTACAATGTGGTAGACAATGAAATAAGTTAAAAATACCTGCTAAAAGTATCGGTGCTTATGTTGTGTTGGATTATATGGAAGCAAACACCAAGGTGGAGTTTTTGAGGGGTGCAGGACATTTAAAGGTTGGGAAGAGGCAGAAGGCAAAGTGCAAATGCAAGCTTGACAGAGCCTTGGTCAACCCATGGCTTAGGCCGCTTGGGCTGCTAAAACACAATACCATAGACTGGGTGGCTTATAAACAGCAGGCATTTTTCTCACCATTCTGGAGGCTAGCAAGTCCAAGATCAAGGTGCTGGCAGATTCTGTGTCTGATGAGAGCCCTAGGTCACACAGCTGTTTTCTTGCTATAACCTCACATGGCAGAACGGGAGTTCTCTGGGGTCTCTTTTGTTAAGGGCACTAATCATCCCCCAAACGTCCTACCTCCAAATACTATCACCTTGGGGATTAGGTTTCAACAGACAGGTTTTACGGGGACACAAACATTGGGTCAACCCAGCAGGAAACTCATAGGACAAAACAGCCATTCCTTTATATGTCCTCATCCTTCTAGCCCTGATGCAGGCTGCCCTGGGAAGGGCATGATCTCAGGTGAGGCTGACCCTGAAGAAGCTGACAGCTGGAGGCCATCTGCTGACCGCATTCCTCACAGCTGGGCAGCAAGCCCTTCCTTGAAGAGGGATCTGAATGGGACATCTCTGTGCCTACCAGAGTCCACCTCTTGCTCTGCTTGGACCCCGCCTCCATGTACTCTCCTCTATGGACCGGCTCCTCCATGGCCCCGTGGGTCTCTCTTCTTGAGGGAGAACTTGGAAGCGGGAATTAGTGGGCTGAGCCGCGGCCCCTGCTGCTACAGTTGGTCCCCATTCTCTTCCTCCTCCACTACCTGGTCTGGATTCACTTTCATCTCAGCTACCACCGCTGCTGGCTTTGGTGTCTTAGCTGGTGATGTGACTCAGACCCTTATCGCTGAGCTTAGCAGGCAGGAAGTTTATTAGAGAAGGCTCTCAGCACGACACCTGTGGGGCAAGTGAAGGAAGCAAGATGGGACAGAGAGAGAATTTGTGACATAGTCACAGCGAGATTCCAGCTGACCCCTCAGGGAGCTCTGAAGCTGGGCTGACCCTTCAGAGCTGTCCCCATCTGGGGCCAAGAGGACTGGGCCTTTTCTGCCCCTGCCTTGACTTCTCATTGGATGTGAGCTGCCCTGGGGAAGTGGCTGTGACACTGGGTAGGATGGCTTTCTTCTGCTGAGGGCGATTCTCACACAAGGCTGACAGCTGAGGGCTGGTAACGGGGGTGTGTCAGCTGTGACAAGTGCCCTTCAGTCCCGAAGGGGGACGGCTGGTGCCAACCACAACAGCCCCATCTGTGTCCAGGACCCAACACTTGCCTCTCCCTGTCGCGGTCTCAAACTTGGCACCAGTCAGTGTTTCTCACTGACTCCTCTTTCCAGGTATTGTTATTGTGGTAAAATACACGTAACAGAAAATTTACCATCTTAACCATTTTTAAGTGCACAGTTCAGTATTGTTAAGTACATTCACGGCATTGTGCAACCAACCCCTGGAACGTTTTCATCTTGCAAGGCAAGCTCAATAGGCAGCCATTAAATAGCTCCTCATTCTTCCTTCTCCCCAGACCCTGGCAACCACCATCTGGCTTTCTGTCTCTAGAAATGTGACCATTTTAGGTACCTTATATAAGTGTCTTTTTGAGACTGTCCTATTTCACTTAGCATAATGTCCTCAAGATTCAACCATGTTGAAGCACATATCAGAATTTCCTTCCTTGGTAAGGAATAATACTCCATTGGGTGTTTCTACCACCTTTGGTTTATCCATTCATCCGTCAGTAGATACTTGGGTTGCTTCCACCTTTTGGCTATTGTGAATAATGCTGCTGTGGACAGGATATACAGATATCTCTTCAAGACCCTGCTTTAAATTCTTCTGGATAAAAAGCCAGATCTAAGATGTTTTTGTCCAAGACGTTTTTAATCTTTCATTGGCTTAACTCCTTCTAGACCCAGACAGAGGTGAGGATGAACCACCTACCTTCTTGTTAAGGAGGCAATCCTATAAATCAGAACACTCTGGGAGAGTCAGCTTGATGGATATCAAACCTGGCTTATGATTAATTATGAACCAATATATGCCATCCAATAGTTTCTGTTTTTTCCACCAAAGGGAAAGAAACCATCTGTAAAGGAAATTTCCCACATGCTGCTTGAACTGTTTCACCTTTTGTTATCGTAACCACCAAGGTTAGTTAATCACAAACAGGACTTTGAGAAACAGTCTCTATGTTGAAAGAAAATAAGGCAGGCGGGGCCCAGCTCATTACCATGCTGAAGCTGATGAGGGTGTCTTTGTGTTGATGAGGGGAAAGCAGGGGCTGACAAGGGAGAGGTAGACCCTGGGAGGGGAGGTTGGGTGGAGTTAAAAAAATTTTTGCCAAGAATCTGATAGTACATCATTTTGTTGGCCTGATTGTTTTAGGCTAAGCAATACCTGAGATTTCAAACAGCAAAAGTGAAAAGTGCATTCTTTATGAATTTTTAAAAACAACTCAGGCTTCTTGTCCAAGACCTATTTATTTGGACAAACACATACATTCAGAGTTTATTTCCTCTGTTTTCATTAAAGTTAAATCCAATCTGTATGACTCAAGCCAAAAGTTAAAAGCAGCATCAGATGTCTTTTGAGCTTTTCTTCACCCCAGGTTGCCAGCTGAAATAAGAAAGTGATCAAAATAAACTTAAAAATCAGAACTCATTTTCTTAAGGAAGTTCTCAACTCTGCAACTCACCCACACAGAGCAAGTGGATAATTGATACTGAATACAATAATGGCAAATTGTATGCATGCTTCCTAAAATAAGCAGAACTATACCACAGTGGTTGACAAGGAGGCTTAAAATAAATAGATAAATAAGTAAGTAAGTAAATAAAAATAACAGAACTCCTTACCACAAAAGACTCACTTTTAATCATCATTTGAAATAATACCAGATGACTATGCTTCACACCTCTAAGAATGTGTTCTGAAAAGAATAAACCCTAAAAGTTACGTTGTTAGGGTTCAATTTTTAGTGAGCTGCAGCATGACTAAAGTTGGTAAATTTATCCTCTTGGGATATTCCCATTTTTATGAGAGAAATTGCATGTGATACTGTATATTTTCTCAGTCTTGTACAATGATTCTATACCTTAAATGACTTCCCTGGTGTTCATTTCAAGGAGAAAAGGAAATTGGCAAAAAACAAAACAAAACAAAAATCCCCAGCACATCTCTGACTTTCTCCATAGTGCCCCCTTTAACTGGCCAAAACATGGTCAAATCTAAAACCCCCTTTCCCTTGCTAGCTGACTGAGACAGCTGGCTCTGATCTGACACCCTGATCAAACAGTTTCTTCGCTTAATTTTTCCACTCTTTCTCCTCTGGCCTCTTCCTCTCTCTCCTATATTTGCACCCTCCCAAAAGGGAGTCCCACTTACTCAAAACTTCAAGGGAAAAACGAGTGGAAGGTAAATGAGGTAAGTGGCCCAAACCTGTGTGAACAATGGACTTTTCACTCTTCTCAAGGTGGCTTTGACATAGAAAGCTTTCCCATCCCTAGGAAATGGTCATGAATTCATTTCTTAAGAGTAACAGTTTGTGATAATACCTAATTCACAATATCTATTACACAAGAATCTAATGAGCTTCCATAACCCAACTTATGTCCTGAAGATTTAATCTTAGCTTTAAAGTCAAAGTCGATTGTATGAAAAGAAATTTTTATCATGGAAGTCGCAGCTGTCTTTGATAAAAATTGTATCCTTCACTTTTCATTGTCAAAACTTTGCACAGCTGACACAAACCATCCTGATCTGTTTGCAGACATTGCAAAGGCTAGTTACCATAATGACCTAAGTGTTAAATTAAGGGCAAGAACTTTCTGGAAATATTGTCACTACATGCTGACATATGTGACCAATACAGTGGGTGAGCTTAGGTCAATACACACTAACTTCTGTTTTCATGGTTAATTATAATAGAGATAAGGCATTTGTGTATCATTCATTCATATTTAGATGTTTACCATGGCCACATCCAAGCCATCCTAGCCCACCTCCCCAGTTTTTTAAAGGTGTCCAGCGAGTCTGTAAATTCAGTAAATGATCCCAGAGTCAGACAACCAGCATTTTCTGAAAGTTTTCTTTGATGTTTAATTAAAACCCTCAGTGCAATTAGCGAACAATTGATCACCACTGTGATGGTTAATTTTAGCAGTCAACTTGACTGGGCTGAGATGCCCAGATAGCTGGTGAAACATTATTTCTGGGTGCGTCTGTTTCTGGAAGAGATTAGCATTTGAATTGGTAGACTGACAAAGAAGTTCACCCTCTCCAATCAGTTGAGGGCCTGAACAAAACAAAAAAACAGAGCAAAGCTCTATATGCTTTTTTTTTTTTGCTTGAGCTGGGACTTTCATCTTCTGCTGTTGGACAGTTTCTCTTCCAGTTCTCAGGCCTTTGAACTAGGAATTAGACTTACAACAGCAGCCCCCCAGTTCTTGAGCTTTTAGCCTTGGACTCAATCGCACCACCAGCTTTCCTGCTTCTCCAGAAGACATATGGGCAGATGGTGGGACTTCTCAGCCTCCATAATCATGTGAGCTAATTTCTGTCATAAATCTCTCTCTCTCTCTCTCTACATATATATCTATATATATATAGATAGATATAGATATAGATAGATAGGTAGATAGATAGATAGATATCTCCTATTGGTTCTGTTTTCCAGGAGAACTGAGACAACCAACCTTCAGTAAAATAACACAGGGTATGTTATTACCTGTCTTTGGTTAAATAATTCTCTTCATTCACATTTTCTTTGTAAGTTCTATTTACCAATTGTTTAACCATATTTTGTGATTCTCTGAACCATCTGCTAGTTTTGGCAACATATACTGACTCATAATTAGAAAGCAGCAAAGTGAATGGTGGCCAGTCCATCTCTTTGCTTTAGGTCCCCTGGACCAAGCCTAGTTTGCTCCAAAAGAAACAATGTCTGTCCTAGGCTCAGACCAGCTCCATTTCATTGTTACTCTTTTGCACCTGCCCCGGAACTACCTTATACTTACTATTCAGCAGCTTGCCCACACCTGGAAACCCCTAATTTAGCCCCAGAATTTCTCTAGTCTCACCCAAAGTCCTGCAAATCTCATAAAACCCCTTGAATTCACAACAAGAGCAAAAGTTCTCTTTCTGTAATGGCCCAGAGTTCTTCCAAGGGACAGTAGAGAAAACTATAGACTTGAGAGGTGGCACCAAAAAAATAGGGTTTTTTCCCTATTGGCCAATCTCAGTCAATTAAATTCTACAATTTGAGAGCATTCCTTTGGATGTTGGCAATAAATTGCCAGGAAGGTTAAAACATACCTGTGTGTAATCCATTGTCATTATCAGTCATGACTTCATTGGCATCAGTCAATTTCTCATACTGGCTACAGTGACCAGTTCTTAGGAACTTGCAAGCTGGGTTATCTGAAGGCCAGAGCTTGGGGTACTTACTGCCTGTGGGGTGCTGGCTTTGTCTTGCCAGAGCACAAAATCCTGAGGGTGTGGGGTGCCTGGAAGCAGAGGGAGGGGCACTAAATGAAGAGGTAAGAATAGACAAGCAAGGTAAATCCCTCGCAACTTTGTGCTTTGAGAATAAGAGTTATGCGGATTCCAACAGAAAAGAAGCAAATGTGTTCCGTGAGGTCAGACTTTGTCTACCAACAAAGTTCATATGGTAATAATGCCTTGGAGAATTTCCCATCAATAACAAGATCAACATTTATATAGTGTGTATTATGTGCGAGGCACTGTTCTCAACGCTTTACATGTATTTATTTATTTAATCATCACAACAACTCCATAAGGTAAGCACTATTTTTTTTTAACTTTTTATTTTATATTGGAGTACAGCCTGTTAACAATGTGATAGTTTCAGGTGCACAGCAAAGTGACTCAGCCATACATATACGTGTATCCATTCTCCCCCAGACTCCCTTCCCATCCAGGCTGCTGCATAACATTGAGCAGAATTCCCTGTGCTATACAGTAGGTCCTTGTTGGTTATCTTTTTTATTTTTATTTTTAATTAAAAAAATTTTTCTTTTTTTTTTTTGCGGTACGTGGACCTCTCACTGTTGCGGCCTTTCCCGTTGCGGAGCACAGGCTCCGGGCCCAGCCGCTCCGTGGCATGTGGGATCTTCCCAGACCGGGGCACGAACCCGTGTCCCCTGCATCAGCAGGCGGACTCTCAACCACTGCGCCACCAGGGAAGCCCCTGGGTAAGCACTTTTTTTTTTTAATATGAGGGTTTTTTTTAAATTTATTTATTTAATTTATTTATTTTTGTCTGCGTTGGATCTTCGTTGCTGCACGCAGGCTTTCTCTAGTTGTGGCGAGCAGGGGCTACTCTTCATTGCTTTGTGAGGGCTTCTCATTGTGGTGGCTTCTTGTGTTGTGGAGCCTGGGCTCTAGGTGCATGGGCTTCAGTAGTTGTGACACGTGGGCTCGGTAGCTGTGGCTTGCAGGCTCCAGAGCGCAGGCTCAGTAGTTGTGGCACGCAGGCTCAGTAGTTGTGGCGTGTGGGCTTAATTGCTCCATGGCATGTGGGATCTTCCTGGACCAGGGCTCGAACCTGTGTCCCCTGCATTGGCAGGTAGATTCTTAACCACTGTGCCACCGTGGAAGCCCTAAGGTAAGCACTATTTTTAAACTCCATTTTCAGATAAGAAAACTGAGCTTCAGAGACATCTGTGACCTGGCCCTGGTCTATTGTCTAAAAGGCTTTGAAATCTTTGATTTGCCAGCACATCAAGAGCAGGTCCACATTTTAGAATAGGACTCATGTTAATTAAGATTACTATGTCCAGGGACTGACTGAAAAAAAATAGCTCTTCCATGGTGACTCATGGCTTATGTTTTTAAACCTGAGCTTTGCCTCCACAAAACCAATATATCAGCTCCTATATTTGTCCTCATGTAGTGCAATGGCTTGGCCTGTTAAATTTCTGTTTGAGACTCCCTATTATATGGTATCACTGTATCAGCTATACCATAGAGCTATGCAACACAAAACACAAAATTTCAAAGTAAAACCGCAAACAATATTGTCACTACTTGTCAATTAAAAGGACAGACTTCAATCAAGAAAATAAATACATTATTCATGGGTGATAAACAAAGCAATGTGATATTGGGTTAACAACAACTTTGACAGTCTTAACATACTTGCTTTTTAAAATCTGCAAGAAACAAATGTACCAGCTGAATGCAGTTGAACAAAATCATTATAGGATTAACAGTTTTCTGACCCACTTACTAAAAAAAGCTGAATCACTCAATTGAGACCCAGGGGAAATGCAGATTATACCTTTGCCATACTTGGTTTTTCTTCAATTAAATTACATTCTGTAACCAGTTTTTGAGTCCTTGCCATCTTCTTTTCTTTTAATTGGGTGATTTCATTCGCCTTCTTGAATATAAGCCTTTGCAAATTCTTGATTTTTGTAATTGCAAATGTATAATAGAACATGCATCCAGCTTTTTTCTATGCAGTTATTTTCCAAACCCATCAGGGAGGCCTGCTTCTCTCCCTAATCCTTTCCTTTATTAGATTGGGGGTGGATGGGTGGAGTGAGCTGTCAGGAAGAGAAGTCCAATGCTCTTTGCTTACAGATGGGAACTGAGGAAGATGGGGGAAACGGTCACTCCACCTGTAGTCACCCTGGCCCAGTAAAAGAGAGGCGCTTCCATTCCCGCAGGTATGGAGCCATTGTGAGCTGTTTCCTATCGCCAGGCCTTGACTAATGCTTTTCCAACTACAGAGAATAACCTTTCTCCTCCTGTCAAGTATTCTAGCCCTTCTCTTCCATCCAATGTAGCTTCCTTTAAGGAGGTTTCTTCCAGATGAGGAAACTCTTTTCATTTTCAAGCCCATTGATATAATTCCTGACCAACATCTCATCAACAACTCACTCTTAGAATTGCTATGTTTATACTGATTATATGCTTGTCTTATTTCCCTGGGCAGGCCAAATGTCCTCAACCATCGCCAGATCCAAGGGCATGATTGTGTGATTCTCCCTCTTTTTTCTGGCTTTCTTGTTTCTGGCAATAGCACCATCATTCTGTTTCCCAGGTTAGAACCTCAGAGGCATCTCTGCATCCTTCTTTTTCCTCATTTCCACTCCCTAATCTCCAGTCAGTCTCCAAATCCTAGCAATTCTTTCTTTTCAGCCTCTCTGACATCTTTTCCCCATTTCCATCATCCCTTTCATCTAGACTCTTCCAGCAGCATCATAACTGGCCTCCCTGATTCCCAACTCCCACCGTGAGCTCATCCTTAACACCAGTGCCCGATGATTCTCCTCCCTGAACTACAGCTTTATTCAGATCACTTCACGATTTTAAAATCTCCAATGGCCCCCCATTGTCTTCAGCTCAGCATTCAAAGCTACATAGGTGGAAAGACCACAGGTTTTATAAGCAATCTGATCTCTGTTCTAATACCAGCTCTGCCCTTCACTAGTTGCAGGATTTTGGGCAAGACCCTGACCCTCTCAGAACCTGTTTCCACATCTATAAAATGGGGGTAATAATACCCAAGTGGAAAGATTATTGTAAGTTTTAAGCTAGACAATGTAAGCCAATCCTTTGGCTACTGGTAGTTGGCACTCAATAAATGGCATCTTTCCTTCTTCTGGGAGCCAATGCCAACCTATCTTTACCTTTACAACTTTATTCTTCTTCTTCCTTGGCTGTTCTCCAAACACAACTTCCTTCCCCAGGGTCTTTGGAGAAGCTGTTCTCTCTACTTGCCTTGCCTTCCATCTTTGCCCATATAATTCCCTATGTCCTTTAAGGGCCACAGTCATGAAGTGTTCCTTGATCAGTTTTGTCAAATATTGTCAGTGGCATGCCAAGGGGGGAGGTAAGAATGTGTTGCCACTGACATTGTTTAGGATTGCCAGCTCATAGTGATAATAGAAAGCACACAGACTTTTAGTTTTATGCTACTGTATCTAATAATATCTCCCTTCTCTGAATTCCAGAAAATGCAAAGCATCATTTATAAGGTATTTAATATACTGTTTAATATAATTCAATACTGGTTATTATTATAGTTATTTCTATTCACGTTTTCTATCCATTATTAAACTGTAAACTTTTTGAGGGCAAGTATCATAACATATAAATCCTTGTTTCTCCTGCATAACAGCTTCTATGCAATAAATGTTCTGGATAAATGAAGAAGTTAATATCAACCATACAGACCAAGTTAATATGTAACACATCTGGCATTCTGAGATCAAGGTGGCTTTTTTTGGCCGCACTGAGCGGTTTGTGGGATCTTAGTTCCCCAGCCAGGGATCAAACCCGTGCCCTTGGCTGTGAAATGTGGAGTTCTAACCACTGGACCGCCAGGGAATTCCCAAGGTGGCTTTTTTTAACGTCTTATTGTGTGAGCACTGACTCTGTGCTAGGCAATGTGCTAAGTGCTTTACATACATCATTCATTATAAAAATGTATCAAGTTCCTACTCTATCCTAAGCACTGTGCTAGGCCTTAAGAAGACATTAGTGAACAAAATTGTTTACTTACACAATGCCTGGTGGCCAGAGAGGTTAACTAACTTACCCAGGGTTATTCAGCTAGTAACTGGGGGAGCCTCAGTTGGAAACTGGGTCTTACCCTAGCAACCATGTTCTTAACCACTATATTATATTTCCTCTGGTGTGAGCTATAGAGAAGCCATAGGAGACTGGTGATTGCCCAGTTTGACCACACTCTCTTACACAAGCAATGATGGAATCATTCTCGAGGATAGGGATTTGTATTTTCCTAAATCCTAAAGGGCTTTTATAATGTTAATACCAAACCCATACCAACTTCTGATGGTTACTTAATTAATACTTACTGGCCAACTACTTTGATAACTATATAATCCAGTGGACTTCTTCATGACTTGGGAATTTCAAAATTCACCGTAAAAAATTAATCCCCAATAAAAGCTTATTTCTCCCAGTGACTGTCAAGTATAAATAAAATTACCAATATTAACTGGTGCATTATTCCACCTGTCTTCCCAGAACACTTAACTTGCCTACATACACACCTCAGACACAAACAAAACTACATTCTGCAGAACAGGCAATTAAACCTTGACTCTTCAGATAATGATGTTTCCTTTTATCACAGAAAGGCACCAAGAAGCCCATCTAGGCTTTTTACTAAGAGCAAGAAGGGTAGTAGTAGCAGTGATAACACAAACTATGAAAAATAGATTAAAGGCATTTTGCCTATCCACCAGCAAAAGTTTTCAGTTGTCCTGGCAACTGGATGATATACTACTTCTACAATCAGTTTACTCTGAAAATGACAAAGAAAAATAAAGAGAAAATAGGGGGGAGGGGAATTCACTTAAGAAACAGTGTTATTATGAGCAGTATCAATAGGTATAATTAACTTGCCAGCCAACAGATTAAATCAGAATGTGATGCAGAAAGAATAAGACATAACAAATATTTGGCAAATTCTTGAAATGAAATAAAACTAGGAAGTGTCTAGGGGCTTCCCTGGTGGCGCAGTTGTGGAGAGTCCGCCTGCCGATGCAGGGGACACGCGTTCGTGCCCCGGTCCGGGAAGATCCCACATGCCGCGGAGCGGCTGGGCCCGTGAGCCATGGCTGCTGAGCCTGCGCGTCCGGAGCCTATGCGCCGCAACGTGAGAGGCCACAACAGTGAGACGCCCGCGTACCGCAAAAAAAAAGCAAACAAACTAGGAAGTGTCTAAAAATAGCTTCAGATGAATGATCTATGTACAAAACACATCAGTAGTGTGTTTAGGGCCAAGATCATTGAAAAGAAGTAGGAAAATGTGAGCACAGAAAATTAAATCACAAATCTTTCTATATTTGGGCATTGGAAGACCCGAAAATACCCAACTCTTGAGCATAAAGCAGTTGTTTTCTGATGAGTTTGAGCAGTGGAGACTGCCAAATCACTAGAAGAGAGAGTGAATGTAGGGAGCAATTTAGTCAATGTTGGGAGCGATTCAGCCCAAAACAGAAGGGTTTTGTTGTTGTTGTTGTTTATTTGTTTGTTTGCCTAAGTGGTATGGCTCTATTATGAGCTGGTTTCCAGATGCGAATTCTTAAGAGCAACCAAAGGCACCCTTGGGCTCACATCACAGCCTCTCTTGTGTATATATAACCCATTTATATATTTCTCAGGCAACAAATCCCATGGTCAGATTGTAGAAACCTGTTGTTTTAGATCAGGATTTCTCAACCTCGGTGCTACTGGCATTTAGGGACAGATAATTCTTGTTGGGGGTGGGTGCTGCTGTCTTATGCATTGCAGAGTGTTTAGCAGCATCTCTGGCCTCTATCCACTGGATGCCAATAGTGACCCCCATCCCCAGTTGTGAAAACCAAAAATGTCTCCAGATACTGCCTAATGTCCCCAGGGGGCAAAATCACCCCCAGTTGAGAACCACTGGTTTAGAGGATGCAGAGATGATCATCCAGCCCAACCCTGTACCATACGGATGAGGAAACCAAAGCCCAAACACACTGAATTCCTTTCTCAAATGTACACAGCTGGTTAAACACAGATCTAATCCAGGAGCCTCAGGTCATCACTCTCAGTAACTGCACTATATGCCAACTTTAGTCATTTGCATACCACCGTCATGATTTTGCTCTACCCAATGACACTTTATTATTTATTATTTTTATTGAGTTGACTATTTTTTAACTTGATAAATTTATTTTAAAAGGAAATGGAGGGGCTTCCCTGGTGGCACAGTGGTTGAGAATACGCCTGCCAATGCAGGGGACACGGGTTCGAGCCCTGGTCTGGGAAGATCCCACATGCTGCGGAGCAGCTAAGCCCATGCGCCACAACTACTGAGCCTGTGCTCTAGAGCCTTCAAGCCACAACTACTGAGCCCGCATGCCTAGAGCCTGTGCTCCACAACAAGAGAAGCCAGCACAATGAGAAGCCCACGCACTGCAGCGAAGAGTAGCCCCCGCTTGCCGCAACTAGAGAAAACCCACACACAGCAATGAAGACCCAACACAGCCAAAAATAAGTACATAAAATAAATTTATTTTAAAAAAAAGGAAATGGGGAACTATATTCAATACCTTGTAATAGCCTATAGTGGAAAAGAACCTGAAAAAGAATACATATATAACTGAATCACTTTGCTGTATACCGGAAAACTAACACAACATTGTGAATCAACTATACTTCAATTAAAAAAAAAAAAAAGGAAACAGGCATATAAAGAAAAAGAAGTCAGACATAAAAGATATGAAAAATCACGGTGTCAGAGGGAGAAACCTGTGCTTTTTTTTTTTTTTTTTAAGTCCTCGCAGCTTGTAGGATCTTAGTTCCCCAACCAGGTATCAAACCCGGGCCCCTGCAATGGAAGCTCGGAGTCCTAACCACTGGACGCCAGGGAATTCTCTGTGCTCAGTTATTTTATGTATTTATTTTTCAAGCACCCACACTGTGCCTACCATGTGCCAGGCACTATTTTAAGTGCTGTACATACATGAAATCTTTTTATCTTAATAACAACCTAAAAGTAAAAGGGAAAAGGGAGTGTGGGGTGGGGTTGAGGGGACCCTGAGAGGATGAAGGGAAAGGTGGGAGGGGCTGCCAAGGTGAGAACCTAGAGATGGGAGGGGCTGGGAAGGAGTCCCAGCAGGGCACGCTGGGGCACCGTGATAGGTAGCAGAGAAAGCACACGCCTACACCAGGCAAGGCAGGGTATCTGCTAAAGACTGACACTACTGAGCATCAGCCACTGAAGTTAATGTTTTTCCCTTAAAAATCAAGTTGAGAATCAGTAGAGGTACACACACCACACTTTGCAAAATGTTGAGTCAATTCATCTCCAAAAAATATAAAAAGCTTTTGGGTAACATTTTAGGAATTTTTGAGACTTTTATGTTCCCACGACTAGTTCATAAGTAAAATATAAAACTTAAAAAAATGCACACACACTTAAAATTGCTGAATGAAAATACCAAGTGCAGAACTGCTTTATCACGTTTTGCCAGCTCCTCATGTTTCTTCCACACTTAACTTTTCAAAAACAAATTTTCTGTAATATGTTTTGTCTTTTACGCTTTCCAGTTTTCGCAGGTCAGGATGCTAATAAAAATAAACAGTTTGAGGAAATTCGATGAGTGTTATCATATTTGGAAATATCAGGGTTTCTAAAAAATAAAACATTTCATGCTTTACTCTTAGTGATGTGACAGCACTTATGTGGAAATCCATCCATTGCACGTTAAGTTGGGTCATACCTAAGTTCACCAAAATATCCAGGTACCAAAAGCAACACTGAAGCAAATATATTATAAAGGAATATAAAAATGATGAAAATGTGAGGCTTAGTAACTAAGAGCAAACACTTTAGAGTTAGACAGCATCATAGTATCACGTCCTAGTATATACTAGTGTTATATACCAGCATTATAGGGTCATTGTGGGGATTAAATGAGATGTCATAAAGGATTTAAGGAATTAAATGCTAAATATATTCTAGCCACTATTATTATAGTATGAAGCAGAATAAACTAAATAATAAGCTTCTTAGAAGTCCGAGGGTTTTTATATCTTTGCTTTGATGAGTTTTGAATCCTGCCACTAATTTCCATGTGGGGAGGTACTTGTTCATTCTTCTTAGCTTAGGGTTGACCTGTCTCGAATGGCTTTAAATCAGCAATTTTCGAAGTGTGGTTCGTCAACTCCTGAGGTCCCAAAGAGCCTTTCAGAGGGTCAAGGAAGGAAGCACTATTTTCATAATAATTGCAATGATAGTAATTCTAATTTTATTAATAAGAGTAAAACTAATTTCATAATCTCATATTTTATTTCATAATTTCATGTTAGTAGACATAATACTAATTGTCTAATACTATTTTTGTTTTTCACTGTGTTGACATTGGCATTGGTAATGCAAAAGGAATAGTGGGTAAGTAACTCTACTGATACCTTAGCATGATTCATGACAGTGGTACCAAAGCGAGTTATTCTTCACTACTATGTGCTCACAAGAAGAAGAAGAAGAAAGCTAATTTCATTTAAAAATGTGCCTGATGAAGCAGTACTTTTATTAAATCCCAATGCTTGAGTACACATCTTTTTAATATTCCATGTGATGAAATGGAAAGTACCGATAAAGCACTTCTGCTGCATACCTAAGTATGTTGTTGTCTTGAGATAAAGCCCTTGTACCATCATTTGAATTAGGAGTTGAACTAGTCACGTTTTTCATGGAACACCGTTTTTACTTGAATGAATGATAGACAGACTTTGGTATTCAGATTTGGGTATCTGGCAGATATTTACTAAAAATGAATGTACCACCCTTTCTGGCAGTGACAACCTCCCCACGAGAACGTGCCTCTCGCAAAGGATCCCCTTCATCCCTCTCCAGAGGAGAAGAGGAAACACAAGAAGAAGCACCTGGTGCAAAGCCCCAATTCCTATTTCATGGATGTGAAATACCCAGGATGCTATAAAATCACAACCATCTTTAGCCATGCACAAACAGTAGTTTTTTGTGTTGGCTGCTTTACTGTCCTCTGCCAGCCTACAGGAGGAATAGTAAGGCTTACAGAAGGATGCTCCTTTAGACAGAAGCAGCACTAAAAGCATCCTGAATCAAAACAAACGGGAAACCATCCCAATAAACACATTTTGGATTAAAAAAAAAAAAGCATGTACCAAGTCTGTCACTTCAAGGAAAACAATAGACACTATGGTTACCAATGATAAAACTGGAGCTTTCCAGTAGAAATAAGAATTTTGGAAAACTCATACACACCTCAGTGAGCTTGATAGCTTGCCAGTACATAAAGACCTTTCTGATGAGATCAGTGGTTATATTAATGAATGGTATTTTAAAATATATATAGTATAATGACATGTGACAATATTTGGAAGATCTGCATAACTCAGTGAACCAATATTTTCCCAATGACTGATACATACTTTTAAAGAATCAATCACACATGGGTAAAAGATCCATTCAAAGCGAAAGGTAGATCAGTGGATTTCCTTGATGTGGTTTTAGATTCCACCTTGCAACTAACCTTTAAGAAGCTATCACTTGCCGAGTTTTGGTGTATTATCAAAGAAAAATATCTTCAACAATCAGAAAAGGCTATTAAAATATTCCTCCTTTTCCCAATTGCATCTTTGTGAGACCAGATTCTCTCCATATATTTCAACCAAAACAAAACATCACCACATTGAATGGAGAGGCAGATATAAAAGTCCATTTTCTACTGTTAAGCCAAACATTAGAGATTTACAAAAATGAAAAACAATGCCTTTCTTCTTGCTCATTTTTTTTTGGAGGGGAATATATATTTTTCATTAAATACATTATGTTAAGATTTAACAGGTTTATTTTAAGTATTTAAAATAAAAATTAAAAAATTTTGTTTTAATTTTTAATACAGTAAATATCAATATCTAAACCTATATAAAGTTTTTTGATATCTTTGATGATTTTTAAGAGTGTAAAGAGGTTCTGAGACCAAAAAGTATAAGAACCACTATTCTAAATAGTTCTCCAAACTTGGGCTGGTCTCCTTTGACTATTCACAAGAAGATAGTACTTAGGGCCAAACCTGTAGTAGAAAATGATCACTTCCTAGTCCGGTTAGGCAGGGGAACATTGTGAAGAAGGATCCTCAGAAATTAGAGTTAGCATTGTAATAGTTCATTCTCACAGTAACACGCAAGTCTAATAGAGTAGGACCATCGAGTTTAAGGAAGGCAAGAAAAAGACCTTTAGGGAAAGACAGGCTGCAAGTCTGCATCAGGAAAAATCAATAGCTGAAACAAACGACTTTGAATTAGGAATTCTGTTTGCTCTTGATATGTGTGTCCCTAATCTATTTACAGGAGTAACTTTTCCGTTCCTGATCAAAAAAGACAAAAGGGATTCTTCAGTTGGGTCTCACCATGGGCCCACAATTTCTGCTCAAGAGGGCATAATAAAAAGTGTGAGAACAATGCATTGTTGGAATGGTACCATGGTCAACTTTCAAAATTTAGCTCTAAGACTGATGTGGGAACCCCTCTATGGTCTGTCTCCTTTTCAGTCAACAAGAGAACAAAGTCAGCCCTGAGGCTCAGGACCTTTAGGATTCTGACCTTCAGCCTGAGGGTAGAAGGTGATGTATATACCTGAGTATTGTTTAGGCTATGAATTTAATAAGGACAAAAAGCCATGAGAAACCATTTGACTCATTTCAGCCGCTCAGTGTCCTGAAATATTCCATCTTACTGTAATGAAAAGAATCAAAATACGATCTAACTCAAAAATGGGTTGTTGTCCAAGAGGAAAGGGAATAGTGACCAATTCTAGCTTCAGATGGGATTGTTTCTGAAAATAGAAGACAGAGCATTACCAATGAGGTCAAAGCAAGAACTGACTGGAATCACCCAGTAGGTTCTTCAGTCCTTGGTTTGATCATTGCAGTAAGCTTTCCTGATAGCACCTTGGATATCGACACAGGCCATCTTGATCACAAATTACTATTTACCTTCCTCAACACTTATATGTGAGGAAAGTAAAGAATAACGATATATATGTGAACCCTGGAGTCAGCCTGTCTGGATCTGATCCTGTATTTCTCAAGGCCTCAATTTCCTTCTCTGTAAAATGAGAAGAGTGATAGTACTGACTTTTAAGATTCTTGAGAGGATTATCTAAGATAATGCGTATAAAGCACTTAACACAAGACATGGCACATACTAAGCACCTAATAAACGGAAGTTATCATGGAGCGTCTTTGCTTCGTTATTTCCATCTGTGAGCAGTTTTTTCCGTTGTTTCTCAACATAACCCCTTTCTTTCGGGGCTGCTGATCTGAGGCATCTGGTCCCTTATATCCCTGAGTCATCATCATTGAGATGCTGGGTTTCTGAAGTCATCCCTCCTACTGCTCTCTAGGGCTCCCTCTCTTGACTGCTTAGCTCTCACGGGGGCTCAGACCCACAAGCCGTGGCTGCAAGTCTCTGTCGGGCTTGGCCACCCGTCTTGGAGAAATGTCCTCAGTCCCCTTGGTGATCACCTAAGACTGAGACCCATTGGACCCAGAGAAACGCCCCAGCCCTGAAGCGGGAGTGAGGCGGGGGGTGGGGCCGTCCCCTAAGGTGAGAACAAGGCTAGGGGCTAGGCCGTGCTCGGAGGTGCGCGCGAGGCCACACCCCGAGGTGAGCGTGCTGGGGGCGGAGCCACACCGGGTGGACGTGAGGCCGGGGGCGCGGCCGCGTCGGGGAGCCGCCCGGACAGTTAAGCATGCGCCAGCTGTCTCCACGGGCGGCGCGCGCAGCCGCCGCCGGGCGTGAGGCAGCGCAGGGGTTAAGGCCGTCGGCGCCACCTGGGCGCCGCTGAGGAGACCCACGAGCCGGCGAATCGCGCGCTGGCGCGGCGAACAGGTGCCGGTGCGCGTCAGGCGCCGGCAAGGGGCGGGGAGAGGGGGCGCGGCCGGAAGCCCCGGGCGGGGTGCGGCCGTCCGGGTGAACTGGAGGAGCTGAGACAGTCAGGAAGGAGCTCGTTGGGCTGCGCGGCGCGCGATGTGGAGCCGCCGCCTCGGCCCCTGCAGCAGCCGCTGTCGCCGCCGCTGCTGCTGGGGCTGCCGCCGAGCCGAGGGACATGGAGCGCGGCTGCAGAGAGCGGCCACCGGCAGCAGCAGCAGCAGCGAGCGTCGCAGCGACAGCGGAGCGCCGCCCGCCCCGTGAGGCGCTGCCCGGCCAGCGGCGGCAGCGGGAGCAGCAGCAACAGGGTGGTTGAAAAGCCGGCGGCGGCGTTCCTCCTCGCAACCGCCCTTCCCGCTTCGCCTCCCCTCACTCTTCGCTTTCTCAGCCTTCCCTTTGCCACCCCGTCCTCCTCCCCAGCGCTCGCGGAGCAGCTGAGCTCGGGGGCGGGGGAAGGGGGCGCGTGCCGCCGGAGCGGGGGAGGGGCGGGGCGGCGCGCGCCGCGCCCAGGGCTCTCGGAGACCCGGGGGGCGCGTGCCGCGGCGTGAGGAGAGGCGCGGGGCGGTGCGACGGGGCCCCTCCCCCTTGCAGCCTGGCGCGCGCCGGCCGGGCCGCACCGCTGCGGGCTCCGCGCGCGCGGGCCATGTCCGCCTTTTGCCTGGGCTTGGCTGGCCGCGCTTCAGCACCCGCAGAGCCGGACAGCGCCTGCTGCATGGAGCTGCCCGCCGCGGCCGCGGACGCAGTCGGGAATCCAGCCGCAGCCGCCGCCGCCCTTGTCTCCTTCCCCGGGGGCCCCGGGGAGCTGGAACTGGCGTTAGAGGAGGAGCTGGCGCTGCTGGCGGCCGGGGAACGGCCGTCCGACCCCGGAGAGCATCCTCAGGCCGAGCCCGGGCCTCCAGCCGAGGGGGCCGAACTGCAGCCGCCGCCCGCCCAGGATCCCGAGCTGCTGTCGGTGATCCGGCAGAAGGAGAAGGATCTGGTCTTGGCGGCCCGACTGGGCAAGGCACTGCTCGAGAGGAACCAGGACATGAGCCGGCAGTACGAGCAGATGCACAAGGAGCTGACAGATAAGCTGGAGGTGAGGACGTCCCTTCTGGGATGGGTGGGAAGCGGGGGGTGGGGGGGAGCCCAGGCACCCGCCTGCCGGCCCTCGGTAGCTTCGGGAGCCACTCACCCACCCCACCCCATCCCACCTTTCTTGCTCATCCTCCCTCACAGAAAACCACCTGGAAGCGGGGTAGCATGGAGGGTTTTGGATTATCAGACGAGGGCATTCATTGAGCCCACCTGGCTTTCCCACCCTACTCACAGCAAACGGGTCTATGCACGGCTCCAAACACTGTGGGCCGTTCTGTATACGTACTGTACACAGCATCTAAAATAGAGTTTACAGTATGACATTTATTTGTACGGCACTGAGGTGATGTCCACACACAGAGAAATTAGAAAGTCGCGAAGCATTTAAAATATGCTCCATGTTTTCAGAGAAGTAGTTAATCGCTAATCAGGGTGTTAGCCTAAAGCGTTTCAGCTTTGGAGTTAAGGCCTCCAGATGCCCTTGTCTTAACTTCCCGGCAGCTCAGAGTTGTGGGAAACAAGTGCCCCTAAAGGAGCTTTATATAGCCTTCAAATAGTTAAGGATTAAGAAGTATGGTTCCATTGCAGAAATCAGGTGAGCCTGCGCTCCGCATGTGACCACTGGTTGTGGATTTGATTTGGACCTCAGTATTTATATGTATTTAAACAGTACTTTTCTGTTTCTTTTCTGGGTCTCACACATGCAGTTGGTTCGCCAAATGCAACCTGTGAGAACCATACAACTTTAACCATTGTTATAAATACCCCTTAAAGTGTCTGTAAGATTTCTGCCACTTCTCTGGACCAAAGTCTTTTGCAGCTATGCCTGTTTGTTTTCTTGACCTTAACTAGAAAAGGGCCTTGAAAGTGGTACAGGTTGCCACCATTTATAAAAATTAGATTTTTGTTTTTAAAGTGGGGGTAGGGGAGGTGCATCATGGCAGTGGGGATGAGCTTATCCTTTTCTGCCTGTGCATTTACTGTTGTTACCCAGTTTGGTTGCAACCAGTTCTTTTTATTCTTAGTTAGAAGAGAAAAGGACAGCCGTGAATGAGGTCCATATCACTGCTGCGGGTCAGACAGTCAGAATGTAGATTCAGAAACTTTTCTATAATAAGAAGTGTGTCTGTATTCCAACGACATATCAAAAGTAAATCAGGGAAGAAAAAAAGGAAACCACTGTAACCCTGTAGTTCAGTTGGCCTCTTAACTAGGTCTGCCAGTCGATGAACTCCTGAGATACCTCTCTGAAAAGTGGTTTGTGAAACCTATAGGTAGACTGCCAAAAAGCAGCCCAGTGAATTGAATTGTTTAATTTTCACTTGAAGTAGAGGTCTACGAATAAAAGGGTGTCTTTTTTTTATAAGAGATTTGATTACAGGCTCTATATACAAGTACTACTGCAGAGATTTATGCTTGTGATTTGAAATTCCTTCAGTGAGGGACTTGATTAAAGAGACAGCTAACTTGAAAGGAACATCATATCAGTCAGTTTGATTAGTGATAGATTTCAGGGTAATCCTGAGTGTGCAGTTATACACATCCTGGTTTCCATTTGGAACCTTTATACATGTCTTCAGCAAAGGAAAAAGATATTCAAATTCTGTAACAAGAAAGGTTCTATTGTAAAAGAATAAATTACGTTTGACTTTTTGCTGTTGACTTGATAGACAGTAATAAAATAGTTTAAAACTCTTATTAAACTTTAAAAAAATCTTCACTCCTCTCAGGTCAGCATATGAACTCTAGTGTTAAAAGTTTATTTTTAATTTCTGGAAGTTGGTTGCACAACAGTATGAATGTACTTAGCACTACTAAACCAACAGTACACTTAAAAATGGTTAATATGGTAAATTCTATGTTATGTATGCCTTACCACAATTTGAAAAATAACTTTTAAAAAGTGAAATTTTGATCACTAATCAATATTAATGAGTGATGAAGGGGTTCAGTTATACAGTTTCTTCTAGGTATATCTGAAAATTATCATTAAAAGTTTTTGTTTTTTTAAAAAGGTACACTTAAAATTATCAAGGTATTGTTGTTAGTTTCTCGTTAATTCTTTTAGTATTAATATGAGAGTGACAAATCTCATTATAACAGGGGACTATTTCATTTGATACCTGCAAGTGAGTTTTCCCTTGCAAATTACACCTGTAAGTATATTTTTTAAGCAGCTTAGATTTTAGAATGTCTGCTTGAACAAATTCTTTCTAAAGTTTAATACAACCATTCTGCTAGATTTTCAATTAAATTCAACATTTAGGAGTAGAGAACCAGCCATTACTTTAAAAAACATTTGTAATTTTCTACAAACTATCAGACAGTGGAGTCAAACACATTTTCTCATGGGTTAGTTTGAAAGATAAACACGAGAGGACTCTGAGAGAATGTTGGTTTGACTATTAAATAATGAGACTGGTTTTGTTTTTGTCCCATCTGCTTACTTACTACGTCAAAATTGGCACCTTTCTAATTTCAGAACCAAGTCATTTTCAAGATCTTTTCTACTTATTCATTAGCTATTATTGAATACCTCTCCAGTTCTGTGCGCCAAACCCAAGATTGTGTTTTGTCATTTAAAACGTAAAGTACTTGATCTTACACTGCTCTCTCATTAAAGGCACACTCTTTAAAGTCTTTAAAGGTTAACATAGAAGTATTTTAGTTAGGCATCTCTTAAAGATGAATGAAGATTCAATTTAATTTGAGAGATTGTAAGGTTTTGGTCATTTTTTTTCCACCCTTAAATTGACTATCCTGTATTTTATTCATTCCCTGAATTAGATTTTCACATGCTTAATTTTTTAATATAAATTTATTTATTTGTTTATTTTTGGCTGCATCCTTTATTTCGTTGCCGCGCTCATGCTTTCTCTAGTTGCAGTGAGCGGGGGCTACTCTTCATTGTGGTGCGCAGGCTTCTCATTGCAGTGGCTTCTCTTGTTGCAGAGCACGAGCTAGTTGTGGCTCGCGGGCTCTAGAGCACAGGCTCAGTAGTTGTGGCACACGGGCTTCGTTGCTCCGTGGCATGTGGGATCCTCCTGGACCAGGGATCGAACCCACGTTGCCTGCATTGGCAGGTGGATTCTTAACCACTGCGCCACCAGGGAAGCCCCTCATATGCTTAATTTTTCTTTTTAATGCCTTTAGATATTTTATTTCTTCTGCATCTACAGTTAGCCCTTTTGCTTTTAAAACATATCCAGCCAGGTCCTTAGTAGTTTCTTTTTTTTCCCCCAGAATATGAACTAAGACAGTAACTTGGGTTTATACACTTTTTTCTTCAGAGATTAAATCGTTGTTTAGTTTTTTAAAAATATGTTTTTAGGGCTTCCCTGGTGGCGCAGTGGTTGAGAGTCTGCCTGCAGATGCAGGGGACATGGGTTCATGCCCCGGTCCAGGAAGATCCCACATGCCGCGGAGCGGCTGGGCCTGTGAGCCATGGCCGCTGAGCCTGTGCGTCCGGAGCCTGTGCTCCGCAACAGGGGAGGCCACAACAGTGAGAGGCCGGCATACGGCAAAAAAATAAAAATAAAAATAAAAATAAAATATATATATATATGTTTTTAAAGTCCAGGATTCCCTTTTTTCCCATTCTAGCTGAGAGTGAATTATCTCTTACTGCAGAGGTAATCTCTTTCCTCAATTACATTTTCTTCCCCCTTCCCTAGGCCAATTCTAATGATTCTAGCATTGTTTTCTTTTTTAAGAAGCAAAACAAGTAAGGGGAAAATGATTCAT